CTGAGCTGTCAGCACAGAGCCAGATGCGGGGCTTGAACTCACGAGCTGTGCGATCATGACCTGAGCTGAAGTCAGACGCTCAACCGACTGAGCCACCCAGGCTCCCCAAGGATTTCTTATAAGGGACTGCTTTCCTACTTTGAGATATAGTAGAAAACGCTATAGCCATTTGAAATGGTGGTATTACACACGTTCAGTGCCATGTAGATGAGGCCTGCTATAGTACTGACTAAAGAAAGGCAATTATTCAATAGTATATAGAAAATCTTATTTTGAAAAATATAAAGTCATCACATCACTTATGAATTGTAGGATCATAGATGATTTTTTTTTCTTCTGTTTAATGGTGATAGACTGCCAGGGCAGAGGAGAAAAATTTTCACTCATGATATGACATAGGGCAATTTTAAGGACGAACTTCTTTTTGGGATTATTTCAGCTGCCAGTTGGCATTTCTAAAATTTAGAATCACAGACGACAGAGACCGAGACTGCTGTGCTTGGGAGGCCTGCTTGCAAGGGTAACTAACTATCTCTGGCATCTGGGAACTTGGAATCTGGGAGTGTCCCCGCCATTCGCTAACATTAGCAGCTTATCGTACCTACAATGTTTTTTATGCTGACCACCTGCTCTCCTTCTAGGAGTCTGTAATTTTGATATGTGCTAGGGAGAAGAGGCCCATATAGCCAATAAAAGCCCTGGGCACTGAGTCTCTGATAAGATTCTCTACTAGACTGCATTACACATGTTGCCATAGCTTGTCATTGGAGTAATTGTGTCCTGGGTGGGTCTTTCGGGAGGGGATTCTTGGAAGCTTATGTCTGGAATCCCCTGGACTTTGGCCCATGTACCTCTCCCTTTTGCTGACATTGCTTTGTGTCCTGTTGTAATATGCCATAGCCATGAATACAACTATATGCCAAGTCCCATGGGTCCTTCAAGCAAATCTAGGTGCTGGTCAGAATTATTTGAACCCTAGAATCTTTTGTTCACAGAAGGTCAAAGTATAGCTGCTCCAGTTGATAAGGGAACAGAGAAATCCCTTCTGGAATCTTCCAGGCCTTCTGTATTCCATTTGACCAGACTTTGACCTCTGATTTGGGGAGATGATTATTTCCTCTTCTCCCACATGGTAAGAGTCTACTCCTCAGTGGGTTTTGCCTTCCTCCATGTTTCTAGACTTCCCATAAAGAAATGAGGAGAAAGCAATAATTTGTAAACTATGTCAGATAATAACTGCAGAGCATGGGCCCTGGGGCCAGAACGTTTCTGCACTGATGTGCTAGCTATCAGCTGCTGACCTTGAGCGAGTTACTTAACCAACTTGGTTTCCTTCTCTGACACGGCTTGGTACGAAGATTAAATGAGATGATGTAGCTAAAATGTCTGGCCCAGTGCCCAACACAAAGAAAGCCCTTGATAAACACAAGCTCTTATCATAAAACACTATAATTGAGGCGCCCGGGTGGCTCAGTCGGTTGAGCGTCCAGCCTCGGCTCAGGTCATGATCTCACGGTTTGTGGGTTCGAGCCCCACGTCGGGCTCTGTGCCGACAGCCCCGAGCCTGGAGCCTGCTTCGGATTCTGCGCCTCCTTCTCTCTCTGTCCCTCCCCCATTCGTGCGTGCTCTCTCTCTCTCTCTCTCAAAATTACATTTTAAAAATAAATAAGTAAAACACTATAATTGTTTCACAATATGTAAGTCATTATGCTGCTTAAACTTACACAGTTATGGGTGTCAATTATACCCCAATAAAACTGGAAAACAAAGCAAAGTGATAATGCTGAATTTAGGAAACCATGAAGTCTATGCAGATAATAAAACCTCATGATGTGCAGCTTGGATAGCCAGGCACTGCCGATGAGCTAAGGCCATCGTGTTTCTTCATACCATGGAGGGCTGACCAGGCTGTGCTGGTCCGACCCACCTTTGTCAGGCGCACTGCCTGCCACGGCCCCTCCTCACATGGCCTGCATTTCTGACAGACCCTGGCAACTTGCATGTCTCCAGACCCCAAGCCTTCTCACACCCTCCATCGTTCTCCCTAGAACTCTCCCTCTCCTCCCAGAAGACTTTTCACCTGGTCACATATGTCGTCTTTGCAAATCATTCAAACCGGAGGACTTTATATGACCTTGCAGACTGCAGTGAATTCCTTGTCGGAGAAACAGGCCCTCTAGAACCTTCTCTGAGCTTTACGGTGCCACAAAGCACCGTGAGCGCCCCAGACAACAGGAACAGCATGCTGTCAGGAAGAGAGGGGCCCTTCAGATCCACCTGGTAGAAGGGAAGCCTCGCACAGGTGGCAGAAGCCACGCGTCTAGAGGAGAAGGATTAAAGCCGGTTCAGGGCTCAGACTCGAAGGCAATGCTGGGACGCTCTGCCCCCCCCGTCCATTTATTATTATTATTTTTTATTACAGAGAGGGAGAGAGCGTGGGTGAGCAGGGGCGAGGGGCAGAGTGAAAGAGAGAGAGAATTTCAAGCAGGCTCCACGCTCCAACGCAGGTCTCGAGCCCACGGCCCCGGGATCACGACCTGAGCCGAAATCAAGAGACGCTCAAACGACTGAGCCACCCAGGCGCCCCCCTCCCCATCCATTTTAAAGTCTACTTTCTTTCGCTGTATCAGGAAGTCCAAAGGAAAGAAAATGAAAAACAAGGTAGGAAAATGCTCTTGCCTGTTGGATTCCTGCCTTTTCCCAGTAATGGACATAATACAAAAAAGTGGCCGAGAAGGCACGGACGTCAAAGGGAGAGGAGAGCCTGATGATAAGGGAGCCTTCTCCTGGCGTCACCCAAATGTTTTCGGGAGGCCCGACGGTAACTGAAATAGAATGACAGACAGAGGCAAAAAAAT